TTCTGTTAACTGGCTGATTCCATTAAAGAAGAGCGTTTTTTTTAAGAACGCAGATACTTAACTCCTCCCCCACAGCCCCCTGGACCTGCTTATGCCTCTCCCCCCTGCCCCCAGCCTTGCTGGTGCCCCTTGCCCCTCACCCATAGCCTCCTGCCCCCCCAGCCCTGCTGAAGGGGACCCCCAGCTGCCAGGGCTATGGGGCCAAGGACCCACAAAGAGGAATTTATGCTCCCCTCCAACTCCATAAGAACCTTTTGATTTGACATCATCGAATAAGTTGGATGTGGTCCTTCACTTGAGTCTTAATTTTTTAACTGGTGCCTCAGTACCACAATGTATGTTGGAAGTGTCTCAGAGATGCTGTATTCTCGCTCTCTTCTTGTTATGAATTTCTTTAAAATAGGAGATTAACTGTTAATTGTGAAAAACGTAGGATGTCTGTTTCCAAAAATGTGAGGAACAAACTCCACTAATTTTCTGCTCGTGGTGCTTATGCCTGAGAGAGAGGGATGGGGCAGAGTGAGTGAGGAGGCAGGCAGAAATGGAGCCGTAACTGAAACCAAAAGGCCTGCCGGAGGCTGCTCTCTGGCTGTGTCTGACTGCCCAAATCACTGAGAGCTCTGGGCAAGAGAAAACAGAGTGACGCTCAGATGAAAGGAGACCAGCCCTCCTTCCATTCCACAAAGAGGAAAGCTATGTTAACAAACCTTTCTGTTTTCTAATAGTGGGTAGGCTCACCCCCGTGGCCAGTTTTTAAGATTTTGTTCCTTTTCCCTCACTGCTGAATGGTTTAGTCTTCCTTGGAGCAAGCAGGCCCTGGTTATACTTCTCAGGCTTGTTGACAGCAGCAACTCCTCTTGGAAAAAATGTTTAAAGCCAGAGCTTGTGACACACCATTTGAGGCAGGCACAAGTGCAATCTAAGTTACAAGCTAGCCTTTGAATCACGGAATTTTGCAAAGTACAGCTGTAACCAACTACAGGTGAGTGCAAATAATGTTTTATTTGAGTATATACATGAACACTTACAGGCAAAGCACTGTTTACTTACTTGCCAGGAAAATGTTTGTGGAATGCAGTGTTGGGCATGAAAGCTGTCCATTTGAACCACATGAAATAGCACTGTTCTTGTGACTACTGATACTGGCACCATTTTGGTGGTGGGGCAATTAAATAGTGTTTTGGTGTTTGGGGGATTCTGAGGCGTTTAACAGTAGTTGGGTTGCAACCACATCAGCAGCAATTTGGTGCCAGGGAGAAGCAAAGATGGCCAGGTTGAAAGCATCCTCCCACCTTGACCCAAGCTGAATTATTTCAGCCTGTGCTCTGAAAAGGCTGCCAAAACCTGCTGCAGAAGTTGAAGCAGATTTAATACCGAGGCAGAAAAGGAGAAATCAGAGGCAGGTCTAACAGTGCAGGAGCTCTCATTAACAAAGTTCAAAGTAAAATATAAGGCAAGATTGGTAGTATCCACATCTCCCAACTGGGTGGAGCTAGTGCAGCTTTTCCAGTAGTTGTCTATATATTGGTATTCCCAAAGTAAATGACCCCAAATATCCAAAAAGCTTGGTGTCAAGTCTCTGACAGCAGCTAAACCCGCATGCTTTACAGGAAGGTATAAAACCCCAACAAGGACTCTCATTGTCCAGCAGTATTAGAGACGTAAATTCTATCCTGATCCAGTTAGTGATTATTTTTTACCATGAAGCATGAGGATCAAAATTCCTGATAACTTTATCTGGAACTGGGGAAGGTATTCAGAGCTACACAAATACATGTGCCTTTCAATTACATTATCAAGTATTGCTTTGTTGTGAGGTTGCTTGTAAGTGCTAGATTGCATACCCTGGTTTTATTACAGCTCACCTTCCGTGCTGGTTAGTTGTACTCCCCACCACTAGGCTACATGTTCATTATTGTAGGGCTGGGTACCAAGTTAACATAGTGTTTTATTGCAGGATTATCTCCAACAGCTACTCCAGCCATTTTGCAATCCTCCGTTCTTTCAAATCCTTGTTCATAAAATGAACATGTGAACAATTTAATACATTTTGCAGGCAGTAGCAAGTGTAATTCTGCACCCACCAACCTTTTCAGGGTCACTATGGCCTGTTACGTTGGCTTGGGATCTGTCAGACTATCTAGAGGACAGTTGTGTGTATGGTAATTTGCTTTACTTCTGTGATTTTTTTTTTTTTAGGTTCTCAGTTGAATTCTACAATCCCTAACACCTTCAAATTTGCTTTCAATGAACCAGTTAATTCAGTAAATAAGCATGATGTACTGACAAAACATTTTTGAGGTTTAACAGTAAGCTAAGAGATCGTCTCATCTCTCTTTCACCTCACTGAAAAAAACAAACAACAAGATTATCAAGTGACTGCTCAGATGTTTTGCTGATGTGATGTTGCCTCTTCTGGTGTCTTCCCTTAGGCTGTCTACAAGGCCTGGCTCTGCTCCGAGTTTTTCAATGTGACACAACAGCAGTGCCAACACCGGATTCCATGCAAGCAATACTGCCTGGAGGTGCAGACCAGGTGCCCCTTTGTGTTACCTGACAATGATGAGCTGATCTATGGAGGGTTGCCTGGCTTCATCTGTACGGGTAAGAAGGACATGGGAGCAGGACAGGCATCCCCAAAATAGTGTCTTCTCACCTGTACTTCATAGGAAACAAAGAAAATACAGACAAATGGGTAGGCAACCATGTGGGGTACAAGGGAAGCTTTTGAACTCATGTTGGAATAGTGCATTCAGTTTTTCTAGCGTATTCTGCCCAGAAGGATCCCACAGTATTTTGCAAGCCATGAACCAAATCTGGAAGTCTTCACATGTTCATAAAGAGTTGAGGATTTGATCCAGTATATGAAGATAGGAAGCACTTTGCCCACTACTGAAATATAGCCGTCCCTGGAATGAAATATTGCTGTTTAGCAGCCACACTTTAGTCCTACATGGGTGTGGACAGATGTAACATTTGGTACACTTCAAATGCCTTTGAAACACTTCAGGGGGCAAGCAGATAGGCATACGCCCCCTTTGAAGTGCTCTGAAAATGGCAGAAGTGTTCCAAAATAAGCCTGGGAAAACAGCTACTATTTGGAAGTGCTTCAAAATGAAGTAGTTCCTGTTGCATACCCATGTACTATGGAGTGTGTCAGGGGAGGGCTTAGTCCTCCAGCATCCCACGGTGGAGATTCTTGCTCTCTTGCCTTCTGCGGGGGTCAGAAGGAGAGCAGAGCACACTGTCAACAAGTGCTTTTTTGTGTACTCCACCTCCACTCTTCAGGAGTGCCCCTTTCTAGAACCAGGAGACTTCATGTCCCCCTCAGAGAACCAGGAGCCCCAGAGCTGGGAGGCTGAGGGTCTCCACACACCCCCAATGGAAGGGGAGACTGGAGGCCTCACTCTCCTACTTCCAGGGATGGCACTCTGGGAGAGCAGAGGCAGAGTACACAGGACTGTTCACTCACTAACAGCTGGCTCCAGCACAGAGCAGGGGCAGAGAGCGCTTGTCGACAGCCAGCCCCACTCCCCTCACTCTGCACTTCAGATACTCCATCCATCCATACTGCATGGCAGTTTAGGACAAAAAATAAAAAAAAAATCGTACCTCCTACTGTACATCAAGGGGTAATTTGGTCAGGCAATGGGATTAAAGTTTGATGGGGTTATTGATGCTAACTGACATTAAAGGATGTCATGGGATTTCCTTTTTTAACATTTGTTTAGTCCTGGTGGAAGGTGCTCAGAGACTGGAATCTTCTATTCATCCATCCATGCAACAGGGAAGAGCAAAGGTAGGGTAGAGCAAATCTTTCGTCCACCATTCCACAACCTGCTAACAGCACTAAGTTTTCCTGACAGTTTTTCCATGCCTGACTGACCTGATATGCAGCCTGGGGTACCCACAGTTGTCCCCCAGAGTATCACTACACTTGGTTGTTTGTCCTGGGGTGAAGTGGCCCTGGATCTCTGCTTTTTTCTGTGTGGGAACATGGTCTGTGGTCTTGGTCCCAGGAGAAACCAATCTACAGGAAGGTTGCACAGGGTCCTACTTAGGGTGAAAGTCACCCAGTACAAGGCAGCCAAGCAGAACTGTTCTGGGTGCACTTTCTAGCAGACCCTGGGGCTTTGCTTTCTATATACCTTTTAATTTGCCCTACACCCTCACTGATTCCCATCATTTGCTATTATGTCTTGCCAGGGTTGCTAGAGAACCAATTATCCAATGAGGAAGCAAAGTGCTGCGATGTGCAATGGGACTCCTGTGACCACCCACCAGACAGCAACTACAACACATCCCCCAAATCCACGGAGTCAGAGTCGCTCCATTACCACCGCCACGACCCCCACCTTCATCACCAGCAGCAGCATCACTATCACCTCTACCACCATCACCACCATCAGTACCACCAACCCCACCCACCATCTTTGCTGCCAGTGTCTGCAGGGTCTCGCCTCAGCAACAGCAAAATCAGACTATGCGTCCTGGTCCTTATGCTTCTCCACACCATGGTGTCCTTCTCAAGCGTGCACAGCAGTGGGGGGGCTGCCAGCAGGGGGCTGAGTTTGGAGGCCCTGCCTGCCATGGATGAGAGCATAACAAGAGATGAGTGACCCAGAGGGAAAAGGAGACCTCCAAGAAGAATGCCGGATCTTTTCCCACTAAGGGGGGCACATGCTATTCCTCCAATGGGAGGCAGAGGATTGGGGGTGACATGCGCACACACACCCTCATCCACCCCCCAAGAGCTGCTCGCCGCGGGGCATCCCCGTGATGAAGAGGCTCTAATGCGCACAGGGCTGCGGGACTCAGCTTTGAGAAGGGTTCGGTTAGCAGCAGCCTGTCAGTGATGTGCATCCTGCCTCGTAGAGGCACTGGGAGCTAGCGCAAAGGAGGTATGGCAAGGGGAAAGGGACTGGGAAGGGAGAAGGGTCCTTTTGGAATGCTGGCAGTCTCCCTGCCACCTGAGAGGTGTTTCATGAGGCACCCAGGCTTTACCCACCCACTGGATACTTTGGTGCAAAGCAAAGAAGAAACTGGTTTCTCTAGGATTCCTTTTTCTCCTCAGCTTTTAAGGTTCATTATCCTCTGTT